TAGACTTCTAAGCCATAAACCCTAAGCCCACATGGACCCTAAACCCGAATCCCTACACCCCACAACCCAAACCCGGATTCCTGCACCGCAAACCCTAAACCCGGAACACCCTAAATCCTCAACCCCTCAACCCCACAAGCAACACCCAACTACTCTATAACCATAGTGGTAGGGTACATAAGCCCGCCTTCATTAAAGGCCCTAAACCCCAAACCCCAAACCCCAAACCCTAAACCCTAAACCCTAAACCCTAAACTCAGGGCCTAGGCCGCCCCCCTACAGAGGGGGGGCGGCGCTTAAGCCCTTCGACCTCTATGGCGAAAGTCGACCCAGGTCGCTTGCCCGCCTCCTGCAGCCAGGAGGTCGGTAGCACCCACGATGGGCCCGGTACCGGAGCAGGTTCTCCCGGGGACCAGTACTGGTCCCCTTAATAAAGTAAATACCCTAAACCCCAAGCCCTTCACCCTGGGCGTGGCTGGCCGTTTCGGGGGGGTACCCCAAGGCCCCCAGGCCAGGAGGACCCGGACCCCTCACCGCAGCGTGTCCAGGGACCAGGGGGGCCTCAGGCCAGGCCAGGCAGGGCGGGTGCTCAAAAACCTGCTTTTTTGGTTTTTCTGGCTCTGCCCCCTGGGCTCCCTGCGCCCCCCCTGGACCCCCTGCGCCCCCCCTGGGCCCCCCTGGGTGCTTGTGGGCCCCGCTGGGCCAGGGCCTCTGGTCCCCCTTAGCGCCCCTGGGCCCCCCTCTGACCCACCCCCCCCGATGGCCCCCTTCCCCCGACCCCCCTGGCTAGCCTGCCCAGACTGACCCTGTGGAGGCTTGTTTTTTGTGAAAAGCTGTGACGGAATGAAGAAGTTTTATGTAAAGAAAGCAGTTGGCTTGAGTTTAGGCCTAAACCCTAAAAGGAATAGGTTTGGGTGGCTTTGCCGCCTTGGACAGCGTGGGGTGGGAGAAAAGTGTTAGATGGCCTTCCACAATCGGGCCAAAGCTGCTCTTCGCACCTCACGACGCTTTCGAGCTTGTTCCAAAACCTAACCTTCACAGCATCTACGCCCTATCACAGCAAACCCTAAACCCCAAACCCCAAACCCCAAACCCTAAACCCTAAACCCTAAACCCTAAACCCCAAACCCCAAACCCCAAACCCCTCAGCCAGGCGACGCGCTGCGGCGCTGCCGCAGTCGCGGCCAAGGCCGCCGCTGCGGCGAAGGCCGCCCAGCGGCCGCTTGAAAGAAGAGGGCGGGTTTCCTGAGGCCCCAAAGGAGGGGTTTAGGGTGTAGGGTTTAGGGTTTAGGGTTTAGGGTTCAGGGTTCAGGGTTTAGGGTGTAGGGTGTAGGGTTTAGGAAGTTTAGGAAGTTTATGGGGGTGTACCGATGATTCCTGATAAGCATTGGGGAATAAAAAACGCTCTGAACCCTCAACCCTGCTTCATGTGAGCAAAGGCGTTTGGGATCTCGGGGCAGTCGTGCCCAGTAAACTCGAAACTCCAAACCCTAAAGGGTTTAGAGTTTACTCAGGCTTTAGGGCTTCGGGATTCTTCAGTTGGAGCAGCTTCGACCCCAAATTTCCCTAAACGCCCTGAACCCAAGAGCCCCAAACCCCCCGCAGCAGTGGCCGCTTGCTGCGCCTGAGTTTAGGGGCGTAGGCTGCTTTTATGACTTACCTGATATCCCCTGTATTGGGGTTTAGGGTTTAGGGTTTAGGGTGTAGGGTTTAGGGTTTAGGGATTTGGGGACCCTGTATGAAATATGTCTAACCACACAGAGATTGCTTTGAACACCGGCTCTGACCTCTCCGTTTGTTTGAAGCCGCAGTCCCAGAACCCTAAACCCTAAAACCCAAACCCCAAACCCAAACCCCAAACCCTAAACCCTAAACCCTAAACCCAAAACCGCTCGCAGCTTTGGGGAGTTTGACCCTCAGGATGCACGAGCACTGCGGTACGTCGCAGCCTCCTAGAAACACTGCTTAAAAGGGATCACAGTACCCCCCTAGATTAGGAACTATTTTCTATTCGTACTCATGTATAATTCAAAGGAATATAAAGAAACATCAGTTTTTGCCCTACTTCAGGGCTCTAATGCTGGGGGTTGCAAGGAGAGTATATTACCTAAACCCTAGCCCTAAACCCTAAGCCCTAAGCCCTAAGCCCTAAACCCTTAACCCTAAACCCTAAACCCTAAACCCTAGTTCAGGGCTTTAAAGCTGAGGACTCCCTTTGCCCCGCCGCGGCCTTCGGGAACTCCTGCTCGAGCCCCGGGTTTACGGTTTAGGGTTTAGGGTGTAGGGTTTAGGGTTTAGGGTTTAGGGTTCAAGAGGACTTGGGATTTGGGAGATGAGGGTTTAGGGTTCAGGGTTTAGGGATTAGGGATTTAGGGTTTGGGGATTTGGGTTTTAGGGTTTAGGGTTTAGGGCTCGAGGGCAGAGGTTGAGAGTTGAGGGTTGTTGTTGTTGTTTTTTTCGGCTGGACTCGAATGCCTCAGCTCCCTAGCAGCTAGTTGGCAACCCTAAACCCTAAACCCGAAACCCTAAACCCTAAACCCTAAACCCTAAACCCTAAACCCTAAACCCTAAACCCTAAACCCTAAAGTTGGTGTTCGGGATGTCGGCGACCTGGCCCCTAGGGTTCGAAGCCTCGCTTTAGGGTTTTCCTAAACCCTAAAAACCTTTCACCCTGAACTTTAAACCCCTAGACCTTGCACCCCAAACACCTGTCGTTCTGGACCCTGAGCTTTCAATCTCCAAACAACCGTATATGGCGGGTTTACGAAACGGGCCCCTAATATACTCCCAAATAATCGGATTCCCTACACAATAAGGACCTCAAGAAGGCGCACCTAATTCAGAAACCGCCATATGCAACCCTAAACCCTAAACCCTAAACCCTAAACCCTAAACCCTAAACCCTAAACCCTAAACCCTAAACCCTAAACCCTAAACCCCAAACGACAAGCCCTGAAGCACCAGGAGGAGCGCCCGGGACTCCGAGGTGGGTACTGCGACTGCGCTTGGCTGGGGAGAATGACCTGAACCCCCTTAGAGGGTGGGGTTTAGGGTGTAGGGTTTAGGGTCTAGGGTTTAGGGTTTAGGGTTTAGGGTTAGAACCCCCTTGGGGGGTAGGGTTTAGGGTGTAGGGTTTAGGGTCTATAGGGTTTAGGGTTTAGGGTTAGACTTCGTACATAGGCACAGGGGTTGGGGTCTATCTGTGATGGGGTCCTTTCTGCAAGGGTTTTGTCCATGTTCACAAGAAGTACTACTGTTGGCCCATGAGTCTCCAACATGCACCCATGAACCTAGCACTGGGAGGCGTGAGCTCGTCATGAGACGAAGCCTTGATGAACCTTCAGATAAACATGTATAGGGCCATGCTGAACTGACACGCTCACGTCGAAAACGCATGTCTTGCGTTGCGCATCCTGCTTAGTAGCTGTGGCACAAAGTTGTCACCTTATGCACTGTAGTGGTAGGACCCCTTCTGCCAAACCACGGTGATCTTGCATGCTTGTGTTTCAGCCCCACTCCTTTCCAGCTTGGACTTGAAAGAACACCAGGACGTTGCGCCAACCTTCTTCCCAAAGAAGCAGAGAGCATAGCTTTGTAACCTTCTCGTGTTCAGCCACATGGCCGCAGCTTATCCCTTCGCCGGCCATGCTTCTCATGGGGAGGCCAGCTCATGGGTAATAATTGAATCTGAGTAGTTTTAAAGTTCGCGTCCATGTACTTAAGCATGGGTCTATTTGGGTTTTAAATGTCCTTCCCTCCGTTCAAAAGGACTGTACAAGGCCCATGTGTATAGCCTTGAGGTACATGGACCCTGAGGGTTGGGTTGGTATTCCCAAGTGTCGGAAAGTCCGATCAAATGGTAAACCCGAAACCCTCAACCCCACACCCTACACCCGACACTTTACTTCAGAGCCTGACTAGCCTATGCAGCATGTTCTCGGAGGCTCGCTTGAAGGTTCATTGGGTGGCTTTTTCTAGGGTTAGAAGAACACTAGCCGGTGTTACCACTACAACAGCTGACCCGTAAAAGGCTCGTAAAAGTCAACCCCAAACCCGAAACCCAAAATCCCTAAACCCCAAACCCTAAACCCCAAAAAAACCCTAAACCCCTATACCCTAAACCCCTAAACCCTGAACCCCAAACCCTAAACCCTAATCCCCCAAACCCTGAACCCTGAACCCTATACCTTAGACCCTAGACCCCTAAAGCCCTAAACCCCTAACCCCAACCCCTAAACCCGAAGCCCTAAACCCCTAAACCCCTAACCCCAACCCTAAACCGCAAACCCTTAAAACCCCGAAACCCCAAACCCTAAACCCCTAAACCCCTAAACCCCTAAACCCCTAACCCCTAACCCCCAAACCCCCAAACCCCCAAACCCCCAAACCCCCAAACCCCTAAACCCCTAAACCCCTAAACCCCTAAACCCTAAACCCTAAACCCTAAACCCTAAACCCCCCCCCCCCCCCTGAGCAAGCAGATGCTAACCCCACATCTTACATGCTATACCCCCCCCCTACGCTTTCACCTCAATTCTCAACCCGCCTCCCAAAATCAAGCCTTCAAAACCATCCAAACCAAAGCCACTAGCCAAAACCCTCACCAAAAGCCTCCCAAATCCGAAGAGCCCAAAAGCAAGACCTTTACCAAAGCCCTAAAACCAAAGCCACTTAAGCAAAGCTTACCCTCAACGATTCCTAATGAGGTCTGGGGGAAGAGCCTTATCTGAAATTCTACCCCCAAAGATTATAACCCTGAACTGGAAAACGACGACAACGGCGAGTTCATCTATGAGACGGTGCGCCTGCCACGCTTGTGAAGCTTTGTCGATTCCTGTGATTTGAAGGCGACACCATTGCTTACACCTTGCAGTTCCGGCTGCAGCCTTTCAGGAGTTGTATTGGCCCTTTGATAGACGCAGTTGTTGCTCTCATTCATGTTAAGGCAGAAGCTGAAACAGAACCCAAACCCTAAACCCTAAACCCTAAACACCTGCGCCATGGTGCACCCAAATACTCACCGCTCAACAGCGCTGCTCGTGCTGGTTGCTCTGGCACATGTGGTGCACCATAGCTTCGTAGTTGCTGCCTTTCCGGCACTTCGGGTTCAGAGCTCCTTGCGCCCTTCTGGCATTGTCAAGACGCGTGTGTTGCGCAAGGCAGCGGAGGGTCAAACTCAAAGGGTTAGGGCGTTGGAGTCGTGCTTTTGTTTTGTTCCCTGAGGTTGGCGATGAGAAGTCCTATGCCCGTCAGTTGGATGGCAACTTTTTCGCTGATGTCAAGAACGGTAGCTTGTTCCTTCAAGCTTTGGAGGAAGATGCCCGGGAGAAGCAGGTGGATGCAGATGCTCACCTAAACAGTATTGATCGAAAGGCCACCGAGTTCATGAAGGGTGGGTCGAACAGACAGCGCAAGATAGTGGACCGCGAAGCCTTTATAGAGGCACTCAAAAAGGCGGTCTACAAAGACGGCCTGCTCACCTTGGTCTTGGGTGGCAAGAGCGTCGGGAAGACGTTGGTTGCCTCGTATGTGGCGGACAAAGTCAGACAGGCACAAGGTTCATCTCGAACCGTCGTCTTGGCAAACCTGCGAAGGGGGGGAGAGACTGACTTTTACCAAGCAGTTTTTGGCGCCGCTGCGGAACAGCAAGGTCTGGCCGAAAAGCTCCCCAGCTTATTCAAAGAAGTTGCCACGATAGCAAGCGGCTTGGCCGCAGCAGCGGAAAACCTCAACGCGGCCACTGCGCCATTAGCAGCAAGTGTCCGTAGCATCATCGGCATAATGCAACCTGAACTGAAAGCATTGACTTTCTCCAAGCTGGTGAAGAGTATCCAAGAGACCGGCAACGACACCACCATCATCATCGACGAAGCGAACCTCGCGCTCCCCAACGACGGCAACGATGCCAAAGCAGAGACAGCCAAGACTGCTTTGGCTCAGATCACCGGCGAAACCAAGGAGGCCTTCCAAGCCTCGGTCATCCTCATCAGCTCCGAGCACGGCTACCCCTACAAATTGACCAAAGCCGGTCTCAACCTGGTGGACATCAAGAATATTATCATCGCTCCGGAAGTGCCGCCGGTCGACATGTTCAAGATGCTCACCGGCCACTGGGGCATGGGGCCGAGACTGGCGCGCCTCTTCGCGGCCACTCTATTGACGCAGTCTACACCGCTCTGGGCAACCTGATGAACAAAGGCGACCAGTTCTATCCGCTGCGCACTACATCCGTTCCGGGCATAGGCAACTGCTTGGTAAAGGCGCGTTAGGGGCAGGTCGTGGTTTGTGTTTTTTCGGGTGGTTAGGCAGGTTCGCACCTAAATTCATTTTGACTTCCGCAGGATGATGCCCGCGAGCACCTCATCAATATCGCGCTGGATGGCTTTTCGCCCGTGTCGGACTATGAGACTGATGAAGGTGCAATCAGAGCATCAGCCAAGAACGTGGCGGGCATCATTCCCGGCGAGGCCCAAGCGCCGGGTCTGTGGCCCGATGTTTTCCACGAGACCGATGAGAAGTACATCCTGGTGGCCTCCACGCACCATGTCCGATTGTTGATTTGCGAGGTGCGCTTCGTCCAATCAGCCTGTCATGTTGTAGGTAGGCAGGGTTTGCGCAAGTTTGTGGCCCTGTGAGGCGCTCCTCAACAAGGGCTACATCCAGAACAACGGTGGCAACTTAGCGAGGGTTTCACCCAATACTAGTTCAAATGATTCAGATGACAGCCTTGCATGACAACGCACAGTGGACACCTGCGCATAATTTGATACAGTGTTTCAGCTGACCGCGCCAGAAGAAGTCGCGGAAACTACTTACAATAGGAGCACCTCATGAAAACAGAGTGCCAGAGAGCAATGTGCCTGCCCTAAGCCACTACATCACTGCCCTTCTGCGCCAAGTCACAGAAGCCACAGCGCCAGCTGCCAACGCCCGGCAGAGGCGCAAACCTCCCCAAAAAACCCGAAGATCCTAAGATCCTAGAGCCCGATAGGCTTGCGGGTTTACAAGGGCCAGAGCCCGATCCTAAAACCCTTTTTCGGCCGCTGATATCTTTTTTCTGAGAGGCCTTGACGGCGGCCCCGAAGGACAGCACATCGTACGGCAGCTGGCGCTCTCCCACCTCCAGGAACCTCAAGGGTTCTCTGAATCAAGCCCTGTAAACCCTCAACTGCCCTAAACCCCTAAAACCCTTGAGACCTTTAACACCTTTAAAACGCCTAAAGCCCTCAAAAACCCTGAACCTTAAAAAGGGTAGCTCTCTGAATGGGTTTGTCGGGCTCCTTGGGCTTCTTGGGCTCCTTCCCTCGAAAAGGTCCGGACCATGAGTTGGGGTACGAAGGACTAAGGAGCCAGCGTAAGAGGTAACGGGGGGGGAAGCCGAGGCTTCTGAGCCAAAGGCCTGCTGCCAGTAAAACAGGCTGTCCTTTCGGCTTGCGCCCACTGACTCTGCCAAGTCACAGGAGAAGGGCCAGCTGCCAGTTCTTGCCCGCAGCCTTGATCGTCGTACAGTAGAGGGCATCGATGGGCTTCAGCATCCGGGGAGGGCTCGCTGCCCATCCGCTTTCAAGGGGGATAACTTCCCTGGACGCAAAGGTTCGCTCCAAGGCGGAGCTCGGGTAATCTTCAACCCAATATATTTTACAGTTATCAATTCCATACTCATCAAAAAGCATAAAGCTGGAGCAGTTTTTGCTTTTGTTGTTCTTTCTGATATAATGATAGCTGGCTTTATGTCGTGCCAGTCTTCTGCTTAACCCTTCGGTTGTGCTTCCGATGTAGCACTTGCTGAAATCTGGGCTAACTATTTTATAGATTTGTCCTTTTTCATACTTATTCATATCCCTAATTTCCATAAGTTATCTTTTCTTTAAGTCTTTTAATGCACTGATACATTGCAGTAGAAGCAATACGCACAGCAGTTCTCCACATCGTGAGGACGTTCATTACATAGACGCTGTGCTGTAAAGTTGCTACATAACTTACCTTGCTTCACTTCAAAATTGAATGCTGTATTACATTTCTCGCACCTGCTTTTAAACATTTTCAAGCACCATTCGGGGGTTATTTATTCTTCTTCGTTTATCTCTCTGCCTGCTTTTCTGTCTTGTAGTTTGTAATTCTCCACCTTGTTTTTAAAGTATCTCATTATCATGTTTTTATCCATTTGTTTATCAAAACTTGCGTTGTTGTAGAACCTGACTTTTCTAAAATCAACACAGCGTGTAATACTCGTCCAAACCCACTCCCTGCTTGCTATTGGTAAGCTGTATTCGTGTATAGTTATACTCCCCTTTACACTCGCTCCCTGACTTGAATGACAGGTGGCGCAGTATGAGTATATAAAGTTATTATCAACAATTGCCTCAAACAGCATAAACTGATCTTCATCATTTGCTATGTTCTGTAATGTTATTTGCGCTCCGAGTTCATCTTGTTCTATGCTCGTAATTCTATACCGTAGATTTACATTTACCCTTGGTTGTTTAATCCATTTTCTGGCAATGAGTATTTCGCCCACTTCGTATTTGTCTTTCTTGCTTAACCTGTTTCTAATCTCGTTTGCGACATTTCGGCATCTTATGTTAGTGTAGGCGATGTTATGCTCCGATGCCATTATGTCGTCAGTCGTTTCAAAGTATTTCGGTATGATGTCTTGAATAGGCAACTTGCTTTCCCAAAAGTCGTTATACATATTATTAATGATTTCCCTGTTTCTGTCTCCTTCTTCGCTGTCCTTCGCTCCTACTCTTTTACACACTTCTAGGAATATATTGTATTTAAATACTATATCTATGCAGTTGTCCATATAAACTGCTGGGTTCTGGCAGTTGGTCATAACTTCCACTCCCTGCAATTGTTTAACATCGCCCGTCCCAATAACGATAATATCAGGATTTTCTTTAATGAACCGTCTGACCTTATCCAAAACATATAAGTTAGACATATAAACCTCGTCAAACACCACCACATCGAAAGGGGAATAGTCAAACGCTGGCAACTTTTCCCCGACATCTTCGTGAACAGCAATGCTGAAAAACTTGTTATAAGTTGTCGCTTCTACTTCCTTTTCTTGTAAAAGTCTATTGGTTGGCACTACAAACAAAACATTCTTACCCATTTTTTGGAAATACTCGCCTATATAACTCTTCCCCGTTCCCGGGAATTTTCCACGAATGATTACGGGGTTTCGCTTAGCAATTTGCTCACAAATGGCTTTTGTGTCCCACTCGTCTTCAACTTCAATTTTTACATTACTAATTTTCGGGATTTCCGGCACTTCATTGAATTTATATGTGTATAACTGCGTAGGCAGTGTAATTGTTTTCTCTTCTTCCAGTCTCCAATCGCCTATGTTAGTTCCAAATTTAAGCAGTCCTTCTCTCCATACACGACAAAAATTGTATCCATACACCTTATCCACATCGTCTTCGTGTATCGTCAAGCAATCTGTCTTAACACTATATACCGTAATGTTATTATCGGATAATGTCTTATCTGCTTCATACATCTTGAAATTATGATATTGTAATAACAACTCCTTGATATACATAAACCCATTTATTAAAGTCTTCTTTTCTGACACACTTAACACATAATATTTCGTTCCTTCCGTCTCCTTTGTTTCATATTCGTCTTCATCCACTTCGTTAAGTTCTGTCTGACACTCGCTTATTGTATAGACTTTTCCACCGTAAATGCTCTGATAATAACACGCCTCCTTCAATGATGTAAATGTGCTACTTCGCTGACTTGTGTTATGAGATTTCTCCAACATTCCGACGCTGATGTTCCACAGTTTCTTTTGCGTCTGCTTGTTGAAGTCTTCGTCGTCTGTTATTTTTGTTGCATACAGTTCATCTATCAGTTTTTTATAATCCACCTTGTAAATGTTGCTCGGTTGCTTATACCATAAGATTTTCAGTTTAATGTTGTGTTTCAGCAGTTTCTTTAAAAACTTTCCATAAACTAAACAATACTTCTTGTTGAAAAAGACGTTCCCTTCATACACTTCTACAATGTATAATGTCAGGTTGTTAAATTGGTCTGCGCTACAATCCTCATCAAAGGGTCTGAATATGTCAAATTGTGTAAATTTCGGGATGTATTTTATACTCCCTCCCGCGTGAGTGAATGCCTTGTTAATATCTATTTCTTTTATTTTCTTGACCGCCACATCTTTACAAAACTTGCCAACCGGAACTATTGTTTTACACACTTTAAGGATTTGTATATCTACCTCGTTATAATAGGACAAATGATTTTCTTTAAACAACTCTTTTTGTAAGTTAAACATAGTTGTAGTGATTTTGTTATACACTTCTTCACTATCAGTTATTACATCTTCGTCAATTCGCTCTTGTGATAAACACTGTGAGACAATGTTGTATTTAATATATTTCTTCAACTTTTTGTAATAAAACTTACATAAGATATTCGTAATCCGCCCTGCCTGATAGTTAATATGCGGTTTGTATCCTGCTTCGTTCAGTTGATGGAAGACCTTGACCAAGTCATTATCCGAATGTATCAGGGCGTATTCTTCTTTATCTGTCATTTTCAGCAGTTCATCTACATTATCAAACATTTTATATTCAACGGGTTCAGTCTTATCGGTGATGTAAAACTTGCTTGTTGTAAAGGCATTGTATTTATCTTTCGGTTGAATTTGCCTTAATGTCTCTAAATCGTGGTTTAACAGGTAAATGTGATTGTTTTTAACAAGTCCTCTGAATATTTTTACTCGCCCCTTCTCATATTTGTCAGGGTTATATTCGTAAATCAGAGCACCTGTAAAGTTGTATAACCTAACTGGTATATTGAAAAATTTAAAGACCTTATCCATTTGGTTTATAGTCGCCCCCGTATTAATAAATTCTTCTTCTGTCATATTCAGCAGTTCAAGGACTTTATCGCGGGTCAGTGTTTTTGTGTTCTTTTGTTGTCGTTTTTCTCTTGTTAGGTTAGTTCCTTCAAAGTTTTCCAACAAAGCATTTATCCAACATTCGTTTTCTCTGTATTTTTGCTTGTTTAGTGCCTCTTTCATAGTCTCTGCTTCGGCATTGACTTCGGTTTGGATGTATCTGTAATATGTGCTTATGATGTTGCCTTGTTGTAATGGTTCTTCTCTCTCGTCGTATCCGCCCGTGTCTGTTTCAACAATCTCAACGCTTTCAATTCTGATGGCATCGGTGTATTCTATCAGGTGTCCTGTTGCCTCCTTAAACTCGCTACTTGAATTCATAGTAATCATCAGTTTTCTAAATAAGAACTTTTCGGTGTCGTGGTATTGTCTTATCCTCCTCTTAACTAATGTTTCAATGAACTCGTTTGCTCTAACATTGGCACTTCCTACTACACTTGCGTTCCCACGGGTAAGAAGAATTAAGGGATAATACGCTACACCATCTAATATAAATGATGCCTTTTTAGCGCCTGAACGGTTATTGATAGAAAACAACATATACTTAACATCGTAATTTTTCCTTCCTTTGAAAATGTCTTTTGCCTTTGTTGATAAACCGCCAATGGCCTTTCTTTTTAATACAGGTTGTTGATCGGTTTTTCTTACAACTTCCTTAGCTTCCTTGCCCTTCCTCGCTTTCTTTACTGTTGCTCTCATCCTTTCGGTTATTGGTGCTTTGTCCTCATATTTTGCCACCGCCTTTTCATATTGCTTTATTCCTTTTTCCTTTGCTTTGGCATTGCCTATGGTCATCCCATTTATTAAATTTACT